TTGAGCCCAGGAGTTTGAGTTTGCGGTGAGCTATGATGATGCCACTACACTCTAGCCCCGGTCACAGAGGAAGGGAGACCCTGTCTCAAAAAAAAAAAAAAAAAAAAAGACCAGGATGTGAACTATGTCGATAGGTAGAAAAATATTAGTATTTCAGGCAGCACAAGACATGGAACAGCACAGCGAGGCGGCGGGAGTTTCCATCCATGTGGAGTCCCATCTGGAGACCCTGGGTAAGGAACCATAGCGTAAAGAAAATGCCCCTGGGCAGCCCCGCTCCCGGGACAGCCTGGGGTGCGGGACGACCCCGGCCGCAGGGAGAGCCTCCCTCCGCCCCGTGCCCTGGTCCCGGCCGCCTCTCAGCCATCCGCTCTGCCCCGACGCCTTCATGCACTCACTTACGGAGCTCCGCCCAGCTCCCGCCGCCAGCCCAGCCAGGCCCGGCCAACTCCTACTCGCACTCGGACCCTCTGCCGCCACGGGAACCGTTATTCCGACAGCGGCGCCTCCCGAGAGCCATCGCCGAGATAGCAGCCCGACGCCAGAAAGCGGAATCGGGCGGCGACGCAGGCAAGAAGCCCACCAGGGGGCGCGCGTTGGCCCCCGCCATGAGTGTCGGGGTCTCGCGGGCGTGGGGCGGGGGATCGCTCCCCGCGCCACAAGGCCCGGCCAATGGGAGCGCGCGCTGCGAGGCTCGGCGGTCCGCGCCGCGGCGCTGAAGACCCGGCCAATGGGCTGTGCTCTCCCGCCGCGCGCCAGCGGACCCGTTCCCCGAGCACGCGAGGCCGGCGCGCGCGACAGCGCGGGTGCCGAGCGCACGGTCAACAGCCCCTGCACTGCCGGCGCGTGGGGTCGGCAAGCCGGTCATGGCCCCCGGCCCGCCGGCGCCCGAGACCCCGGCCCAGGGGCCCACTCCGCGCTACTTCACCTGGGAAGAGGTGGCGCAGCGCTCCGGGCGCGAGGAACGGTGGCTTGTGATCGACCGGAAGGTGTACAACATCAGCGAGTTCACACGCCGGCACCCGGGGGGCTCCCGGGTCATCAGCCACTACGCCGGGCAGGATGCCACGGTGAGCGCTGCCATACGAGGGCACGGGAAAGGGCAGGGCCTAGCGGCCGCGGCCCGAAGCTGCTTGCGTGGGATCCGGGAAGTTCAGCACCCAGGGCCTAACTACTAATTCGGAGAAAAGCCGACAGGCGCCCGAGCATACCTGTTGCCCGCAGGTTGGGTGTCCTGCGGACACAGGATGCAAGGGCCGGAGAGGGGCTCTAGAAATTGGAGTCTGGGGAGTGGGGATGGAGGCCAGCAACATGCACACACAAACAAAGGGCTACGCTGCCCGGGCATTCCGCCTGTAGCCCGAGCCTCCGGTTTCCAGGCGTGGGCCGGACCCAGAGCTGGGCTAGGAGGGACAAGAGCAAGGATGCTGGGCGCCAGGGTCGGAGGGGTCAGTGGCCGGGAGAGGGAGTCACGTCCTGTCTCAAAGGCTGGGAGGGGGAGCGCTGCTGTGTATGGACCCAGCGCGCGCCGGGCTCCACTCGCTGGCAGGAGCGGGGAGGGAGCAAGAGAGGGGACCCCTCATGAAGATAAAGCTGAAACTGGAAAACCTGGTGAGCCCACTGCCTTGGGAACCCCTGCGCTTAGAGGACGAGGAAGGGACAGCACACGCCGGAAAGGGCAAGCAGCGCTAGCACCCTGGGGGAAATGGGAACAGCATTAGCATACACTTAGCGGGGACTTGTCCTCGAATCCTGCCGGGGAGGGGAGGGCACTCGGCCGCAGGCCAGCGGGTCTCCAGCTATTCGGCGCAGAGGACACCTGTTTGCACTCCATGGCGCTAGGCCTCTTGCGGGGTCGCGTCCCTCCTTTCCTTGGGCCTCACTGCGAGGTCAGCGTGCTCCCCAGCCCGGGTCCTGCTGCTTCTCTTTCTAGACCACTAGTCTTCAGAGCTAAGGCACCTGGCGCCTCCCTACCGGGCTGTAGTGCCAGAAAGGAGGGAGGGTTTCCCTTGCGACCTGAAAGTTGGGACGTTCCTTGGCGGCTAGTATCGTGTAGCCTCCCCACGTATCCCTCTTTGATCCTGTGCCCTGCAGCATGACCTCCTCCGGAGTTCCCATTCACTGCCCAGGCGTCCCAGAGTGCTCCTCGGGTCACCATGGTTCCCATAACATCGTTCGCAGCGGAGCTTAGACGCTGCAGGGCAAGAACCACCCCACCCTCTGACACCAGCCCGCCTAGAGGGCGAGGCTAGAGTCTGCGCTGATCACCCGGAGTGGTCACTCGAGGTGGGGGGTGGGGGGCGAGCCCAGACGGCGGCCCTTAGCGCAGGCGTGGGCTGGCGCTTGCGCAGACGGAGCAAGCACGGACGCTGGGGCTCCCGCAGTGTGGTTTGCGGCCGGGGACACCGCGGCAGGGGCTGCGATTGGTCCAGATGTGTGGTGCCACCGGACGCCGGCTCCGCCCCGTCCCCGCGCCCCGCCCCACCCGCCGGGTCTTAGATAGCTCCTGGGACCTTAGGATGTGAATCTTGAATCTTGTTGCCAGGATCCCACCTTGCATAAACAAAATTAGCCACCCTAAAGCAGGGAGTGGTCAGAGTGCTTGGCGAAATACAGAAACCTACCAGGAACGACGGCGGAGAGGAGGAGGAATACAAAAATTCCCCAGTTTGAACGTTGGATGTCTCCCTCTTTGCAGTTATGGAGAACGCTAGCTCTGAGAGAGAGGGGACTTGTTAAAAGTTCCACAAGAAAAGACTGAGAAGTCTCATTGCCCAAACCCATCCCTTCTGTTCCTTACCAGTACCTAAATCCTTGGGTAAAAGCTGTCCCCAGAGACACCTAGGGAAAGGGCCAGCCCAGGCAGGTCTTTCTGGTGGTGCCCTTCTAACTAGGACACAGATGCTGGGTGTCCTTGAGCTGTGGACACCTGGGAAAGGTCTGAGCACCCGCAAAGGGCAGCTGGCCCAGGAACACGGTCTCTGCTTCAATTTAGGTGCAGCCTTTTTGCTGGCAGGAGGATGGCCTTTGGTGTGGGCCCTCCAGGAGTTGGAGCTGCCTCTTTCACCTTTCTGTCTTTTCTCCTGCTTGCAGGACCCCTTTGTGGCGTTCCACATCAACAAGGGCCTGGTGAGGAAGTATATGAACTCCCTCCTGATTGGAGAACTGTCTCCAGAGCAGCCCAGCTTTGAGTCCACCAAGAACGTGAGACCCTGTTTGCTCTTGGGAGACTCTTGGTTGTTGGGGACAGGGAAGGGGGAGAAGGAAAGCCCAGATGGGATCACAGGTGACCACAGTCAGTAGTTCTAGGGAGGCTTGAGGTCCCTGCTTCTTTTGCATAGTCATGGGGTCACAGGTCCAAGGGAGTAGGGCTTGGAAACCTATGGCTCTCCCAAAGCTGTCACTACCATGCCTACCATCATCATCAACAACACGAGACTTATTTATTGAGCACTTCCTATGTGCCAAGCATAAACTCATAAATTCCCACACATTTACAGATGAGAAAACTGAGGCTCAGAGAGGTTAAACAACATGGCCAAGGATCACACAGTCAGTAAATGGCAGAGCAGGGACTTAAGTCAGCTTAACTCTTAGGCATGATCCTCCTGTCATCCTCATTATTGTGGTATCTCTGCCTAGGACTCTGGACTTCCCATAGCTACCTTAGTGGGAGGTCCTTGAGCCTGAGAGGGCCGTTGTCTCCAGCAGTGTTGGTTTGCAGCTGGGAAGAGTAACAGGCCCCCTTCTCCCTTCCTAGAAAGAGCTGACTGATGAGTTCCGGGAGCTGCGGGCCACGGTGGAGCAGATGGGGCTCATGAAGGCCAACCATGTGTTCTTCCTGCTGTACCTGCTGCACATCCTGCTGCTGGATGTCACTGCCTGGCTCATCCTTTGGGTCTTTGGGACATCCTTTGTGCCCTTCCTCCTCTGTGTGGTGCTGCTCAGTGCAGCGCAGGTGAGAGCCTTTGGCTTGTCAAGTGCACAGCCATGCTTAGCATCCCTGGAGAAAGCTTTTTGACCCCTTCAGAAGGCCAAGGAACCCTGCCCTCCGAGGGAGAGTTAGTGCAGGAGGAGAATGTATATTCCATTTCTGAGGCTTTTATCTGCTCATCAGCCACATGTGCATCTTCATTTCTCTCAATGCCTCTCCACCTGCTGCTCCCAGGGTTCCCTTCCTCCTATGGAATTTGTTCTCTGAAACTTCAGGTACAGGTTCTGCCACAGCCCAAGTGTGCCAAGAACAAAGATCCTGGTTTTGCTTGGTTCCCTCCCCACCATTGACATTGCCCAACATGCTAATAATGGCTGGGCCCTAATTCTTGGCTGTCAGACCCACTTGGCGAGCCTTCTCCTCATCTGTGACCCTTTTTGTATTCTGGATGCCAGTCCATCATAAGTCGTGAACTTCAGAGCTGGGAAAACTGAAGAACAGGGAAGGGATAGTGATTTACCGCAACTCACGTGTGAGTCAGTGGCAGAGCCAGAAGTAGGACCTACGTTTCCTGACTGCTGATGCACATCCCAGGCTTTGGTGGATGAAGGAAGATGGAGGGGCTGAAGGAGGCGTCGAGGTCAGTGAGAGGAACGCTGGGCTGGTGGGCTGTTGTCAGTGCTGACTTTTCTCACCCAGGCCCAGGCTGGCTGGCTGCAGCATGACTTTGGACACCTGTCAGTCTTCAGCACCTCCACGTGGAACCATCTGCTACATCATTTTGTGATTGGCCACCTGAAGGTCAGTGGGATAGGGAGGGGCCCTCTGAAACTCCAGGCAACAGAGGGCTGCTGGAGCAGGGGGGAAGGACACTAGGTTTTCATACTCGTGTCCCTGCTTTTCTGTAGGGGGCCCCCGCCAGTTGGTGGAACCACATGCACTTCCAGCACCATGCCAAGCCCAATTGCTTCCGCAAAGACCCAGACATCAACATGCATCCGTTCTTCTTTGCCTTGGGGAAGATCCTGTCTGTGGAGGTGAGCAGAGGTATCAGTGGCAAGGTCTTGGGGAAAACAGCTAGCGTGGAGGGCTTTGGGGTAAATGCCCACAATGTTGTCAGTGTGGGTAAGACGTCAAGGGCTTGGCTGGCTGGGGCCTTTGCCATTTGGAAGTTCTGCGAATCAACAGGCAGTAGACTGGGGCTGCCAGGGACAGCATCACCATCCTCCCTAGTGAGTGCAGTCAGCACATAGTTACTGCACACAAAGTACCGTGTGCTGCAGAGGATCCAGAGGATGACCAGGAGATCACTGTGTGAGCCCTGCTCATCCTAGGAGGCGGTGAGGGTACCTCCTGGGGCTGCTTTTGACCCTCCTGCCCCAGGAAGTCACCCCCTGCACTTGGTATTGCTCTCAACACTTGGATCTCCTACTTGTCAGTCATCCCTGTCGCCTGATGTCCAGAACACAGATAGGACTGTCTTACTCTTCTTGTGACACCGAGTGCCTGGAACATTTCACTCGCCGAGTGCTTCCCACCCTTCTGATCCCAGCCTGACTTCCGTGGTGGTCAGCATTGGGTTTGAGCAGAAATCATAACATAGTGCTGAAGGAAGAATGTCTGGGGGTAGAGATCTGGTGAGCTTTTAGTGAGCATCAGGCAATGGAAGATTCTGAAAGGTGAGCAGAGTTCTTTGAAAAGTAAATTTAAAACCCTGTGTCCCAAGGCTCCAGGCTACAGTTAGAGTTCTGCCAGGTCCCCCTCCCCAAATCTGTGACATTTCAGCTTGCCAGGAATTAAACTATTGTTAAACGCATTTCAGTTCGAGGCATGAGTTCAAGGTAGCCTGGCTCTGTCCTCCGCTCCGGCCGTGAGAACTCTGTGGGAAAGGCCTTGGCAACACTGGCTGTCCTGACATGAGGAGCTCATAGTTTGAGGTTCATGCCGAACCTGTCCATAATGTTCCAGTTTTTCTACCTCCTGAACGTGGCTTCTTGGGTTTGTTACATGTCCAACTGCAACACTGAGTCACCAGCCCTGACCCCCAGCCTGGCTCGGTTGGCTGCTTCAAGGGCGGCGTGGTTATTTACTGGGCAGTAGTACTTCCATTGTCACTACAGGGGGTTAAAAAAAACAGGAGGGGCAGCTAAGTGGCAGGGAACCATCTCACACCACTACCTTATTGCTTCTTGGTACTCAGGTATTCTGTCTGCAGACATGAAAGATAGAGAATGATCTGGGACCCAAAATAGCCTTTTGTTCTTTTTTCTCCCCGCTAGCTCTGAGGCTGGGGATAGGCTGCATGTTAGTGAATCCCTAGGCTGTCAGCTGCTTGGGGCTCGCGTCAGTCCCTCAGGGTACAGCTTAACTGGATCCTGATGCCTGTGCTGACCCCGTGACTTCCACCCCTATGCCTCCCAGCTCTCCTGGAGGACAAGGAGGTGTAGGGGACACTTTGCTCTAAGTAGAACCCTTCTGACGGAGAGTCTAAACACAATGGGGCAAAGTTACTAGGATCATATTGGCATTTGGTTGCCGTTCAAGGAGGCAGCAATGGACGGGGCTCCTTTTCATAACAGTTCCAAGATAGGAGGCCAGGGTTCTGCCCCACCCACCCCACCAAACAAGAAGGGTGCTTCTCTTTCAGTTTCCCCCTCAGCTAATGTTGATTAGGATGGGGTGACTGTCACCACCACATCTAGCTCACCAGCAAGCCTTGCTCACGCTCTCTCCGAAGCACATCCCAAACCCGCTGACTTCACTAGCTCCACCGCTCTGCCTCCCCCGGCCTGGTCCAGCTCTGGTCTTTATTAGCTCCAGCCTCCTCCCCGAAACTATACCCGCCCCTATAATTCTCTTCACCTCTAGCCAGAGTGAGCCTTTTGAAGTGCCAAGCAGATCATGCCACATCTGTTGAAAACCTTCCATTGACTTCTCGTTGCCATTGAAATAAAACCCAAACTCCCTACGATGGTCTTACCAAGGCCTTCTAGGGCCCTGTGTGATCTGGCCCCTCCCTAGGTTTCTGGTCTTCTCACCCTCCCGTTGCTTCCTGTCGCCTGAGCGTCCGGGAGCCTCTGTGCTGGCCATTCGTCTGCTTTGAATGCTCCTCCACTGCGTGTCTGCACTGCTGGCCCTTCTCATCAGTCAGGTCTCGCTGCAGACGGCAGCACCTGAGGGAGGCTGTGTCTGGCCACCCGTGCTGCCTCCCTCACTTTCTGTCCTGTTTTCCTCTTTTTAATCTGTGAACTACCTTGAGCTCTGTTGACAACTTTATCACTGGTTTCCTCTCCTCAGGTTGTAGGCTATGAGGGTAGGAACTGCGTATTGTTCACCTCTCTATCGTCAGTAGCTAGAACGCGCCAGGCACACAGTAGGCGCTCAAGTACTTGTTGAATGAATCAGTGAATGTGGAAAGAATGCTAAAGTGACTCGCACAGAATAAGCTCTCAGTAAATGGCCTGTGAACACAGAGGGCGGACGCATGGAAGGACGAGCTGGCATTCTGCTCTGCAGTCAGGTGCTCCTCTTGTGCCCTTGTGGTTGTCTGGTCGCCTGAACTAGTTGGGGCAAGAGATACAGAAGGAGCCGTGGAGTGACAGCAGAGCTCTGCTGTCGTGTTTCTGTGAGCCCACGCTAGGGGTTCTGGGTTGACTGGTTGTCCTGGCAGTCCCAGCCTGTCTGTTCAGCAGCTGGGCTTACAAAATGACCATCACCTGGACTGGGGAAAACTTTGCCCGGAACCTTCAGATTGCCAAGTTGTTCTTGGTATCCTTTCCACAAATATTTGCCAAACTTTGCTTAGCTTTCAAGAGATTCTGTAAAGTTCATGAGACCAAAAGATTTTTTTTTTAATTTCAGGGTATTATGAGGGTACAGACATTTTGGTTACGAGACCAAAAGATTTTGATGGGGAGGATTAGAGCTGGATACAGCAGGAATATTTAATGTGTATAGGGATAGATTATGGTTGTCCACGGAGAGTCTGATGTCAGAAACGTACCAGATGGGAGAAAGGAAGGGGGAGGACAGTGAAGCCTGGAAACCTCATTACAAAGGTGTCTCTGGATGAACACAGGGAGTCCTCAGGACCTATCGACTGCGCTGTGCACGCCCCTCATGTAGGCGTGGCCGTCGAGCCGCAGGCCATGGCGTGGCACACTTGTAGAGCACAGCCCGGTGCTTCATGCTCCGTGTGCTGGAGGTAAGGCTGGGCCCGCCGGAGCCTTCCAGTAGCACCAGCAAGCTGACAGCTCTGCAGTAGGCCCACACTTCCAAGCAGGGAAAAACTAAGGTCACAGGAGAAGGGAAACAGGTGACTGGTCTATAGATGCTGATTTGTTTGCTCTTCTTTATAGCTTGGTAAACAGAAGAAGAAGTACATGCCGTACAACCACCAACACAAATACTTCTTTCTGAGTGAGTGTCCTCGTCCCACACGGGGGAGCTGGCTTGGGAGGGGGTGCTGAAGGGAATGAGGAGGAAATGGCTCTCCAAGGGATAGTGGTATGTTAGGGAAGGAGGCTGGGAGAAGCACCCCAACCCCAACCCCAGTTACTCCCTGCATGGGAGCAGTTTGCCCTCTCGGCTGAGCAAAGGCAACAATTAGGCTGATGTTTGGTCATTTGGTTGGGGGGCAGACCTCATCTTAAACCTTGTCAAACAGAGACCTGGGCCACGGTGACCTAGCTGAGTCTAGTCCAACTCCCAGGGGAGCAAAGGTACAGATAGCTCTGGGAGGCGGCGGCGGAAGAGCTATTAGAACTGAGAAGAAGACATTTCTGTGGTTGTCTTAAGCACTTTTTGAGGACTGCTGTACATTCCCTGCTTTACAAGTCTGCTCCATAATGCTCAAAATTTGAGCTTTAAAACTCCTTTAAAATTTCAAATTTTAAAAGGAAGGGAAGGAAGGATTTCACTGATCCCATTTTAATTTGAAGGAATTTCTCCTAACTGCTTATTACCAACTATCCCTACTAGAGAAAGGTGGATGGGGCAGAAGGGTGGAGAAGAGACCTCTGGAAGAAAGAATTTAGAATCCATGGCACCTCAAGATAGCGGAGCCGTGGTGGGCATGGCAGAGCAGGGGGTCATAGGCAGCATTAGGTCCTGCAGGGAAGAGATACAGAACAGGAAATGGGGCAGCATGTGGGATGACACCCACCTCTTCAACTCCCAGTTTTTTTCAAAAGAAGCCCTCTGTTCCTTCCCACAGCCGACCTCGAGGGCTCCAGGTTGGGGTGGCACAAGCCCATCTCCCTGGTCCACAGAAGGGAGCTGCTCCTCCTGGGCCCTCCCCCCACGCATGCTGCCTTGCTTCTGCCGCCTCAGCCGGGACGCAGGGCCAATGACTGCAGGGACGGGCCTAGTGCCAGTAGGAAGGCCCTGGCCAAGGCAACACAGGGAGCATTTTAAGGACATGGGAGCAGAGCAAGTCCCACACGTGGAGCCGCTTGTTCTGCTGGAAGCTGGAAGAGTGCCACTCCCTCCCCTCACACTCGGGGCACTGTCTAGGGAGATTTCTCCTTGTCTAGACTTGCATTTGTGCCCGCCTTCAGTGCCTGCTGGTTCCAGTGGATCGAGGAGTGCTCAGGCAGCTGGAGAGGCGGCAGGGGATGGCGGAGGAGGCAGCCCATGCTGGAGGCTGTCTCTCCAGCACCAGCCAGCCCTTTCCTGACCCTCATGTAGCTCACGCCCCCTCCCTGTCTCTATTTCTTCCCCAGTTGGGCCCCCAGCCTTGCTGCCTCTCTACTTCCAGTGGTATATTTTCTATTTTGTTATCCAGCGGAAGAAGTGGGTGGTGAGTATCAATGGCCAAAGGTCCCACATCCTGTCTCCAGTACCCAGACAGGGGCAAAATAGGTTTTCCTGGGGAAACTGAGACTGACTTCAGGCCTAATTTAGAGCAAAATAATAGAACCAGGTATAGATTCTCCTTATCTCTAAGTGGGATGAAATGATTTGGGCTTAGCAGGCATCCGGCCTCTCAGTGCCTAATGCCGTGCAGCCAGCATCTCCTGAGGTTCTCGTGCTGGGCATGATGCCAGGGCCAGGCTGGGGACAGGGAAGGCGAGTGGGAAACAGTACCTATTCTCACGAAACTTCTGATGAGGCAGACGTGGTTGTTAGCAGAGAAGAGATACAGGCAAAAGGTTCTGGGGATTCCAAAAGGGGCTTGACTGCACCTGGCCTTGTGAAGTCACTTTTCTAGCTGGCCTTAGGATAGGCAGTTGACAGGCAGAGGTGGGCCAGGGGGAGGATGGACTCTGAGCAGAGAAGCTGGGAAGTGAGGGGTGAGTTTGGCCACTAGACTTACCATGGAAGACTCAGCTGTTGGGGGAAGAGTAAGGTGTTCGGTTCAGTGTGCAGAAGAGTGACTGGAGTTTTGATCAGGGCACTAGCATGGACTGAGGCCTGGTCCTGGAAGAGTCATTTGGTGGCATGCTGAACGGTTCAGATGGTTGGGAGGAGCTGAAGGCAGGGAGACCCTGTAGGCCTTGCTATTTGTGAAAGTGACAGACAAGGAGGGCTGGGAGGTGCCACTAGGACTGGAAGAAAGGAGCAGTGGCACTAGATACTGTAGGATTGGGCCACCGAGAGGAGAAGCTGAAAACGAGCAACTACCAGGAGAATGGCTGCAGCGTGCGAAGAGATGGGTGAAGTGAGAGCAAGAGGAGCTGCGCTGTGGCTAAAACACCCTCTGCCTTGCTCACGACAGGACCTGGCCTGGATGATCACCTTCTACGTCCGCATCTTCCTCACTTATGTGCCGCTGCTGGGGCTGAAAGGCTTCCTAGTCCTAGGCCTCTTCTTCATGGTCAGGTAGTGTACGACGGGGATCGGGGATTGGTGAAGGAAAGCAGGATGGTGGGGGGTGACCAGTCTGACCTGGGGCCTGTGCCGGGACTTTGGGTCGCAGGGGGTGTTTCAGGAGTTGGCTCAGGAAGGTAGATAGGCTAGAAGGGAAGCGACAACTCTGGGCTCTGCTATACTGTTTCTGTCTGTGTGCAACAGGTTCCTGGAAAGCAACTGGTTTGTGTGGGTGACACAGATGAACCACATCCCCATGCACATTGATCACGACCGGAACAAGGACTGGGTCTCCACCCAGGTAAGGGACGGTCACTCACAACAGCTAGGCATAACACAACTAACGAAAAGGGCGGCTGGGTAAGAGTAATTGTAAAAAAAAAAAGAAAAGAAAAAGGAATAAAGGTCCCCCAGCAGCATTTCCTCCTTAGCTGAGGCTCTCTGCTGCCACTCTGAGGGGAGTGAGCAGGACGGTCCCAGGCCCCCGCCAGCCTGACCTTGAGTAGGCTGGGCAAAAGCTGGGTCTTTTCCTCCAGCTCCAGGCAACATGCAACGTCCACAAGTCTGCCTTCAACGACTGGTTCAGTGGACACCTCAACTTCCAGATTGAGCACCAGTGAGTAAGGGGAGCTGGGGAGCGTGTGGCGGGGGACAGCAGGTGGGAGCAGAGGAGCAGGAGCCACTGACTCTCCTGTTCTCCCTGAAGTCTTTTTCCCATGATGCCCCGACACAATTACCACAAAGTGGCTCCCTTGGTGCGGTCCCTGTGTGCCAAGCATGGCATAAAGTACCAGTCCAAGCCCCTGCTCTCAGCCTTCGCCGACATTGTCCAGTGAGTATCTGAGCCCAGGACTGTGGCCGGTAGGGAGGGAAGAGGGCAGGACAGTGGGAACGGTGGTGATGCATGGGGTGGGGGTGACAGGGTTTTCCCAGTCGTCTGCAGTGGAGATCACCAAGGCAAAGGCAGGGTGCTCTGTTGGTCCTGTGGCCAGGTCAGGCCTGTGCCCTCACTGGGCTTCCCCTCGGTGCCATGGCCCAAGCCAGTTTCTCAGAAGCAAAGGGGAGGGAGGGAAGCCGCTACATGGAAGAGGCCTTCAGTCATGGGGCTCAGCCTCTGTCTGTAAGAACCGCACTGCTCCATGGCTGGTGGGCCCAGCTCTGCCTGTCTCCCTCCCTGTCTGCTCCATTTTGTCCCTGCAGCTCACTGAAGGAGTCGGGGCAGCTCTGGCTGGATGCCTATCTTCACCAGTAACAGCAGCGCCCCCTGCCCCACGTGGAAGAGGAAGAGGAGGACTCTGGAGCCAAAGCAGAGTGGAGCTTGAGGGACAATGCCACTACAATTCTAATGTTCAGAAGGGGGTGGGTTTGGGGGTATAAAGGCTCTTGCTCCAGCCTCTCCCTTCTATTCTCTAGGCAGAGATCTGAAGAGGTGTGAGGGGGACACACAAGTCCCCCAGAAGGAAGGAAGGAGCTGTTGGGGCAGGGACGTGAGATGGTTTTATCGTTTCCTTTTTCTGGCTTGGCAGATGCAGGTGGCTGGTGAGCAAAGGGAACCAGGAGGGTATTAGAAGAGGGGGACCGACTGAGGCCAGAGTCAGGAAGGTTTAGCACTAAAGCTCCACTCATATGAACGGTGAGCTCATCTCCCTGGTCCACTTCTCCACCCTCACTTGAAAACCTCAGAGGGATGGAACAACTGAACCTTTTGAGCAAGATTTAGAAAGGAAGCATTAACACTTAGAATTCTGGGTTGGCTGGGCATGGTGGCTCATGCCTGTAATCCTCGTACTCTGGGAGGCCGATGTGGGAGGATCGCTTGAGGTCAGGAGTTTGACACCAGCCTGAGCAAGAGCGAGACCCTGTCTCTACCAAAAATAGAAAAATTAGCCAGGTGTGGTGGCTCGCACCTGTAGTCCCAGCTACTCAGGGGCTGAGGCAAGAGGATCGCTTGAGCCCAGGAGTTTGAGGTTGCGGTGAGCTATGATGACGCCACTGCAGTCTACCTAAGATGACAGCGAGACTTTGTCTCCAAAAAAAACCACTTAGAATTCTGGGGCCCGGTATAACAGTGCCAGGGAGCTCAGCTCACTGCCCAAGGCTAGTTGTGACCTAGGTCTGCCTCAGGCTGATGGGAGAAGCCATTTTCCAGTTTCAGGAGCAGGCAGGGCAAAGGCCCTAAAGGATCCTGGCGCCACTGATTTCGGTCTATTCCATCCAGGGTCTAGAAGGAACACTAGGTCCTAGCTCTTGCCAGAACAGATGGTAGAGAGAGTTGCTGGCTTCACCTCTTCTTTCACTTCTTCAGCCACCCTCTACGTAACAGAAGAGGACTGAGTCTGCTTCTCGCTCCGCAGCAATGGAGCAGATGTGGCAGCTGTCCTCCCTAGAAACAGATGGGGCACCCAGTGGTTCCCGTTTGCTTCCCAACCTGCAATTCCAAGTTCAATAAAACAGCAGTGAGTGAGCACAAGTGATCAGATTGGGAGATGCTAATTACCAGTCACAAGAAAAGACACGAGTTTCAGTCGTAGGGAGTGTAAGGGCTATAAGCAGAAACTTTCTATAAACTGAATTACGTTACAGCATTATTTTTGAGCAGGAGCAGTGGGTTAAATATAATCAGTTTATATAGTTCTAAATCAGAAATGGGGAGATTAAGGTAGTAGGTTATCAGAACTTACTAACATTAGTGTCATTAAAGTTGGTATTCAACCCCCCCACTGCTAAATTTGACTGGCTTTCCAAAAATATAAAAAAATTTTCAAAAAAGAAATAGGAAGATTAAAAATACAGTAACATTTGTGATCGCTATTGCTGTAGCTAGGTGTCTTAGTCTGTCCACTCTTGTTCAGGTATCTTATTCTTCTGCAGACCAGATAGGAATTTAGGATGACTTCTTACAAACCACATCCATGTGACACTAAAATACAATTTTTTAATTTTCTGGATTTTAAAAGATAAAAACAGTTTAAGCCATCTCTGCAGAGTGGGAACACAGGAATATGCCCTGGAGTCTTGCCCTCACTCCCAGGCCCACAGCCTTTCAGTCCAGGTGAGGGGGATTATTTCTTTGCCTGTTCAGCAGCCTCTACTGTTGGCATATTGACCATTTTCGACACTGCAAGAAGAGAACCTCACCCTAGAAGGAAAAAGCAGAGCCCATGTGTAGTTTTGGGAGGGAACAGCAGACCACCAAGGAGATGAAGGTCCTAAGGCACCTTGGGATAGGGTTAGAGGCACCACATGCAGACAGGCTGTCAGGATTACTTAGAAGTTTGTCAAAACCAAGACAGGGGTGTGGAGGGGGAATACAGTTGGGGAACAGGTTGCAGAAGAGTTCAGAGCTTTTCCATTTGGGCAGATTTTGCCTGGCTGGAGAATCTGGTTTAAAATAGCCTGGGTCAAAAAATTAGAAGCAGAATTGAAGAGTTCTACTTTCTTGGCTTCCTCACTCCAAAACAGGTGCCATTTCTTCCCCATTCCTCTGTTCCCTGACACCTAAGGTTTGGATGTGGTGTCACCAGCCTGTCAAGCCAACTGGCTTTGGGCCCAGGCTACCCAATCTAAGCAAACACCGGTGAGACTCTACTGAGCCAAGACTGGGTTCTCAAAGCACCTGCACCACTGTGGCCTTCTCTCCTCAGCCTATAGCACTATGGTCTCTCATGGCCACAAAGGGACACATCAGTGACAAAAGGCTCAGAGTGTTACAGAGGTAAAATGAATAATCTCAAATCTACCGACAGATGAGAAAATGGGCCTACAGAGGAAAAGTTACCTTGGTCACAGATCATGGCAGAACTAACATTTGAACTTGCATTTTTACAACTTCAACTTCTACGTTTATCTTTGTTACTTTCATCTTTCTATTACCTGGCCAGAGGCATTTCCTTTAATCAGGCCTGATATGAGTATCCCTTTTGTGTGTGCCAATTTTGTTACATCCTGTTGAAGTAGAGCAAGAAAATAAAAGTTAATTTTGACCAATTGAAGGCTGTTCATTTGTAACCCATGATGCTCATCTGTTTTGTGTACACAGGATTCCCTGGTGCTCGACTACAAGTTACTGTTCACCTCTGTGCTGTAACTGCTTTCTGAACTGCTTTCTGAATCACTGCAGACCCCTTTGTGTAAGTCCCCTGGGCAGAGGAAGGAAGGCACATAAAGACCCTCTAGAAAACACCAAGACAAGGGTGGCAAGGAAGAACAAGTCCTTCCCACGACACCCCTGTGTTCAAATGCAAGGTTGCCTAGATAGACTTGCCAGGTTTCAATGCCGTCATCCTTTTATCCTTCAGTTTTCCATTTTGAATCATTTTCTCTTTTTACTTTTCAACTCATTTCTAGGAAGTTTCCAAATGGTTAGTCCCCGAGAGTCCTATTTGCCTAAATCTTTCTCTGCAAGCACAGCGCCTCAGAGCTGGACTACAGAGCAATTCCTCTTAACCTTCCATCCTACCAGAGCAGCTCTCCTGAGCAAAAACACAACATTTGGAGGCATAACTGACTTTCCCTGAAGTGTGCTCATACAGTTAGATTAACAAACTCTAGAAAAGATCAAGCAACTCAGCCTCGAAAAACAAACTACTACATGCTTGACTACCACAGGGTACAAGCCCTTAATTACAATTAGGGGCACTGAGGTGGTAACTCTTAAGAAATCTTACCATCACGGAAGACCTATCGCCATCACCGCAGGTTTAGAATCAAACTACCTGAATCAGAAAATGTAGCTCAAATGAGTTGTATGGCTTGGTTCAACCTGGGGAAACGTTTCATTTGTCATCAACTGTGAGGAGTAGAGCAGTGAACAAAACTAAGCTCCCTGCCCTCAGGATAGAACTTTTTGTCTCCACCAGTGATTTTCAAAAGAGTGCCCTAATGATGAGGCTGTTGCAAGGGAGACAATATTCCGTTCTTGCTTCAACCAGAGGCGCTCTTGTTTTTTTGAGACAGAGCCTCACTCTGTTGCCCGGGCTAGAGTGCCGTGGCGTCAGCCTAGCTCACAGCAACCTCCAACTCCTGGGCTTAAGCGATCCTCCTGCCTCAGCCTCCCGAGTAGCTGGGACTATAGGCATGCGCCACCATGTCCGGCTAATTTTTTCTATATATTTT